TTCTTTCCTTGCTCCCTTGGTGCTTGCCTTGTCATCTGTCTGCCCACCCACTCTTATCCTCATGTTGGTGGGTCACTACCGGTCTCTCTCTCTCTCTCTCTCTCTCTCTCTCTCTCTCTCTCTCTCTCTCTCTCTCTCTCTCTCTCTCTCTCTCTCTCTCTCTCTCACCTTGCTGGTTTCCTGGCCGCTCCCACCCACTCGGCTAGCTTGCTGCTATTACCATTGAAGGCATCATTAGTGGTGGATCCTGCAGACTCTTGCAGGTTCACCCTCCCTCTCACATAGAGTCCGTGGGGAGTTACGGGCTTCGTTTTTGGCCTGTCCGACGGGCAAACAAAAAAAAAAAAAAAAAAAAAAAAGGTTTCAAGCTCATAGATTTTGACAAGAGTCCGAGTTTAAATCGCCAGTTCACCCGAAGTACCGTACGGCTTTTAATACCAGTTTGCGCAGCAAGAGCATTTCGATACGGGCCTGGGCTGGTAGCGAAAAAGGCAGGCCGCTTAGAAAAAAGCACTATTGCAGGCTCGCGAGCCTTGGAAGGCAGCTCCGTCAACTTAGGCTCATGTGAACTGGTGGTTGTTCAGAGGATACAGAGCCAAGCTGGGAGGAGTATAGTCAGATGCAGTGGTGCGCTTGACAGGGTGCAGTAGCCTTTTGTTTCTCCTCCCCACCTTCCCCTTCCCCCCCCCCGCAGCTCCCCCCTTTCTCAGTCAATCGATGGGAGTCCCCAACCAGTTTCAGAGGATTATGATGTATCCGGCGGACTGGGCTGAGACAAAGTAGATAGAGCCAAGCTGGTAGGGGTATAGCAGGCTGCACTTAACATTTATCTCAGCATCGGACCAGTTTCCGCGGCTCATGATATGTCAGGCAGCCAGAACTGTGTTCTGTTGCTTTTCAGGCAGTTTGTAACCACAGGCTAAGAGGACCAGCTGAGAGTCTCAGACTGCTTTTTAGGCCTGTTCCTTGGCAGGGATAGAGAGGTAGAATGGGTTGAGATCGGTGCCATCCATTGGGTCCATCTGACAGTCGATCCCTTTGTCATGGTTCCCCATTCTGTGACATATTGAAGCCTTTCTTTACTGGTAGTTTTCCATCTTGCCGTCTCTGAATCCTCCGCTCTTAAGTCCTCTTCATCAACATTCCCCTCGCTCTCTAACATTGGTGTCATGTCAAAGCTCAAGAAGGCGCGCTTTGAATTGTGTAGTCCATCCGGAGGGCGGACTGTAGAGTTTGCTTGTACACAAGTACAGGGTCAAGACCTATAGTGCCTGTGCCTGGGAGAGATTTGGTAGGAAGGGGCAACTGTAGATTTTTTTCAAAGGCCAGCACTGCAATTTTTTTGTTTTTTGTTTTTTTAACCACACACAGAGGGGCCCATCCATTATGGGGGCGGCAGTCCGATTGCTTATTACCAGCAAGCGTGAAACAACCACGAGGGAAATCGTGGTTATTGGAGGGCGTCCGGGTCGGGAGACTGTCATTGGTACCCAGTCACCCCTGGAATCGTCCTTTCCTTGGCTAGGGTTCCCCCCTATGGGAGTAATCATTACCTTCCCACCCTGTCTCACCTGGCACTGTAGACAGATTCTAGGCACAGAAAAATGCCACTTTTGGGTGGTCAATTCAGCTTCGGATGGACTGGTAGTTTAAACCACCAGTACTTGGCCCGCCTATCGGCCGCAGCGCTTCCCTGTTAACGCGCCGCGCCTGTCGGACTTCGGGGTACCGGACCACAATGGCTGGAAGCGCCAGCCCAAAAAAAGTTGAAATGGTGCCCCGGCGGCTCGACGAAACTTGGCGCGCAGGGGGTCAGCCGGCTCGGCATCGATAGCTGGGCCAAATACTGGTTGTTTAACATCCACCTACTCTCTAAAATTGGTCTCACCCGCTCTGTAACATTGGTGTCAGGACAAAGCTAATGAAGCCGAAGCCTCTCTTTACTGATCCCTTTCTTTTCGACCCCCTGTGAGTCCTCCTTTGGATTAACATCATGATACAACACAATGCAAAGCTCTCACATGCAGTTGTCATCAAACAAGCTCAGTAGAGAATGTTCAACAGGTTTCCAAACATGCATGAGTAGCGAGTATCAAGAGAACAACCAACTTATTTCAAAAATTTACACAGCTGAAAAGTCTGGCCAGTCCTCCTTCGGCCCAGCAACGTCCATCAGTCAACAGCTTCAGATATGTGTCTCGCTCTCTCTCTCTCTCTCTCTCTCTCTCTCTCTCTCTCTCTCTCTCTCTCTCTCTCTCTCTCTCTCTCTCTCTCTCTCTCTCTCTCTCTCT